GATCCAAACAATGCTCCTTCCTCCTCTTCTCCCCGCGTTCCATGCGCTGACTCTCCGCGAGGGCAACTCTATCGCGGCCCGTCCGCGAATCGGGGGATGAAGACATCGCTTGCAAGGGCAATGGGCAGGAGCCCTGCCGTTGTGAACACTTCGACTGGCCTGCGAGACAGGATGTGGATCTCTTTGGTCTCTGTGATCGGAGGATCTTCCCCTACGCGTCATCGGTTCTGAAACTCCTCTGCAGCCTCACAGGCAATGTCCTGGGTTCACAAGGCTGGAAACCGAACGCCGAACGACCAAGGTCCCGGGCGTGCGAGTACCGGACCTGTTGTCAAGAGGTTCACAGCCAGCACATCGTTGTCACGTTGGTTGCGGCCCCATCCCAGAAAGAAGCTCAAATCCCGGATGCTACTCGTAGAAGAGGGGGCTTAGGATGGCTTTGGGGTTAGGGTTTAGGTCGAGGGTTTATGGCAGCAGTGAGAAAAGCAACAACGCCCCCAAGTCCCCAAAGCCATAAAGGCAGACAACCGACCCCAAGCTTGACAGCCCCACAAGCCCTATTGTAGTTCTGGGTCACCCAAACAGTACGGCACCCTTATAAAAGGGACCCTGAAAGGGACCCTCCACCTTGGAGGAGAAAGGAGCCCCTGAATGGAATGAAGCCTGAAAGGACCCCTGAAGCCCGCATTGAACAGGGACCTTATTGTAGAATCCTCTACAACCCCTTCGAAGGGGGACCTTATTATAGAATCCTCCACAACCCTTTAAAAGGGGACCCTATTATAGAATCCTCTACTCCCCCTTACAGGGGACCCGATTACAGAATCCTATACTACCCCGCAACAGTATCCCCTTACCGAGACAACAGCCGGCCAGGTGGATGTGGCCAACAAGGGTGGCCAAGAATGTGAAGGACGCCGGATGTAGGGTCGAGGGAGTTCGGGGCTCAGGGTTTAATATAGGAGCCTAGATCATTACCAATATTACTGTTAGGGGTTCTTATTATAATGATTCTATAAACGAGCCGAGCCCAGAAACCTTTTTCCAATTCCTAAAGCCCCTACATTGGGGTTTATGGTTTAGGGTTCAAAGCTCTTCGGACGATGAGGGTTTGGGGATCTGCGTTTTTGTTGTTGAGATTTGGGGGGCTCAGTGTTCCTTTTTTAGTGAGTTTTAGGGTTCTCGAAATGTGCGGACAGCTGGGAGCTTGGGTTGTGGGGTGTGGGGGTGTGAGGTTCTGAGGTTGCCGGAGGGTCCTTTTTTTGAGGCACGCAACTTCATATAGCAGCCTTACTAATTTTAGAATGGTTTGGTGGGGGTATCTTATACTATATACTTATAAGAAGGAACCCCCAAAATCCTATTCTAGTTATTAAGGCCCCTACATTACCATTCTTGAAGCACGGTCTTGCTGGTGTTGTTTAAGGGTTTTGGGTTTTAGGGGTGTCGAGTGTTTCGCAGCCCAACAAACACTTGGGTTTCGGAGGGGTGCATTCCGAACTCCACAGTAAGGATGTGGGGCTGAGAGGTTTTGTGTAGCCCGAAACACTAAACCCTGTTTAAGGGTTTGATAAGGGCTTTAGAGTTTGTGGCCTGGGGCTTCCGCAGCCTCATAGCTTTGAACTTTACGGCCTGAGCCCTAAACCCCAAACCCCAACCGCCAGGGGTTTGAGGGTGTGAGGTTTGGAGTTTAGGGGGCCGGATTTACTTTCATTTGATATCGGCACCCTTGTTAAGGAACTGAGTTCAATCTGCCGTAATGTGGACACGTGGTATGGAAGAGGTGTTCATCAATATGCTGCTTCAACAAGTTCCTTCACAAGACCCTGGAAATGCTTAACATCCGTGATACGAATGGCGTTTTCTGTAGTGGGTATTGGGTTCTTTGCGTGCTTGCAGGTTTTTGGTGGATGCGGGTGGCAGGTGACCTTTTGCGACCGACTGCAGTTCTGTGAGGAAGGGCTGCGCCATCTTGTGAAGACGCTAAGCCGAACCTCCCTAATGTAGGGGCCTAAATGATTACCAATCCTATTTGGGGGGTTCCTTATTATACTTATATAGTATAATGTACCCAAAACCCCATTCTAATCATTAAGGCCCCTACATGAATCACGCGCGTTGCTTGGAGCTCCAAGACCCTGGGTTTCTTGTTTGGGCTCTGTATGCTCCGCAGCCCTTGACCCTAAACCGCTAAGCCCGAAACCCTGGACCGTAAACCCCTACACGCAAAACTTGAACCCGTAAACCCCTAAACCCCTAAACCCGAAACCTCAAACCCTAAAGCGCCCAAAACCGTTCTGCGACTCTTCGTCCAGGAAACGCCAACGCAGAGGCGAAGACCCCCGAGGAGCAGAAGACGAGGGTGCCGCGCCCGCCGGGGGCCCAGAGGGCTGGCTTTCTTCAAGAGGCTCCGGAAGCGTTTAGGGTTAGGGTTTAGGGTTTCGGGTTTCGGGTTTAGGGTTTAAGGGCTTAAGGGTTTAAGGTTTAGGGAGTTTAGGGCTTAAGGGCTCTAGGGTGTATGGTTTAGGGTTCAGGGTGTAGGTTTGCTGGTTTCAGATTCAGAGATAAAAGCTCAGGGTTTAGGTCATCGGAGATTCAGGGCTTCAATCTTTCGGAACTAGGTTTCAGGGTTTAGGGTGGTGGTAGGTGGAGAATCCCCAACAAGAGTCCCAAGAGTGGTTCTTAATCATCCAAGTGAATAGTTGAGGTCCCTTAATTATCGAGGTTTTGTCGGGTTATATAGGGCCTCCACACTAAAGCTTGCTGCCGGGTTCCCTAGGCCCCTGTATAAATGATAAATATAAGCCAAGGTCGAAACCAATTCAACCCCAGCAAACAAAAACCCTAAACACCCCTATTCCAACTCGTTTCTCCTACCTGCACCCCGTTCTTGAGCCCCTTGGCCTTGAGGTACCTGGAGATCGAGACCGGCGATGAGGAGAATCGAGAGGTTGAGGATTTTAGGGTTTCAGGGCTTAGGGTTGACGGTTCAGAGTTCAGAGTTGATCTGGCTTCTTGGAAACTTGGGTTTAGGGTTTAGGGTTTAGGGGGCATGAGAGAGGACCGGTTTATGGGGTTTGGGATCAACGGATTCGGGGCTTTGGGCGTTTTTGCAGGTAGGGATTTACGGCTGTATGGTACCGACGCCTCGCGGTTCTCAAGAAGGGGGCATTCAGCATGGTAAAACCTGGGGAGGGGCGGGGCGTGGATATGGGTTTAAGGTTTAGGGCTTGGGGGCTTCGGGATATTTTGCTAAGCTTTAAGGTGTGGTCTCTCTAGAAATCCTGCGCTGGTTTTGAGCTTCGATGTTTCTGTGCGGCACGAGTTGCTCAGCCTGGTTACCAGGACCAGGGTTGAAGGTTTTCTTCAGGTTTGAAGCCCAACAATCGAAACCTCTGAAACCCCTTCATACTACCCGTATACGTTTTCTTTTAACATCTTGGGTGCACAGAAGACCGCTCAGAGCCAGCCTTCCGAGATCCTGTCAAAGTTCTGGGAATGCGCGGAGAGGATGAGATGCTCTCGCCCGAATACAACGAGCGCCGGATCTCTCTGGATTTGACGCCGCTGTCGTGCAAGTCAACGGACAGCTCCATTGAGTGCCCCTGGGCTGGGGGTGGGGGATATGGGTGCGTTTAGGGTTTGGACAGTTTTCTACATTATGGCACCCTTGTAAGAAGGACCCTAAAAGGGGCCCTAGATTTAGAGAACAACCCGCTTGGGGTTCAAGACGTCGGGTGTAAGTAGGACGAAGCGTTCAGGGTTGAAGGTTCAGGGAGGCTTACGGGTTCCATTTGAGATCGTTGAACGTGCTGTTGAGTTTTACGAGAGCTCCGTAAACCCTAAACCCTTAAACCCTAAACCCTTAACCCCTAAACCCTAAACCCCTAAACGTCCTATGGCCCAAGAAGCAGAGGTCGGAAACCATACTCCCACGGCGCAAGCCGAAGTCTGAACCTCAACCTTAAAACCTTCAACCCTAAACCCAAAACCCTTAAACCCTAAACTCAAAACCCCTTAAACCCTAAACCCTTAAACCCTTAAACCCTTAAACCCTAAACCTTAAACCGCTGAACTCCTCAACGCTGCATTCCCCCAGCCCTCGAGCCTTCTGCGCGCAGGTATGCCCACCCCAATCAGACGGTCATCATCTTCGACTGGGATGACACGGCACGCCGAAGGGTTGAAGCATAAAGGAGGGTATGAAATTTGGGCATTTTTCGGATATAACCACAGAGTTGCAGTATCTGTTCCTGGTTACCTTCTTTTCTGATTATCGGATTATCGTAGCCAGAATCTGCCAGAAGCCAGGCTCTTCAGAACAAAGGTGCTGCAGTCCAGGGTCGTGGGATTGTTCGCTCCTCGATGCTTTTTTGACGCTTCTTTCTTCAAGCCGTCTTTGAGGCCATCGTGCCAAAAACGGCCGACTTAAAGTTTTCATTTATCCCAGAAGTTCCATCAAGTAACCACTGTGGTTCTTACCCCGAAGCATCACAGGGAGCAGCTTCATACGCGAGCTTCTGAGGGCATCCTTGCTCTGAAGGCCCCTCTCAGCAAGAAGGTCGAGCGTTGGAGCCCCCCTTTGCAGTTTCATGGAAGGTTTGTGCAAGATTTCTGTTTGCAGTTTTTTGGTTTTGGACTATTGCCGCGGTAAAGACGATAAAGCTTAAGCACGAGGCCATAACCCCTTTAAAGGAGCCCTAGTCCAGTCTTATCATTACAAGGCCGCTTTAGAAATCCTTTACAGGAGCCCTGGTCTTGCTTTTAGTGGCCCCTAATGTAGGGGGCCGAAATAATTACCTATGCTATTTTGGGTGTTCCTCCTTATAAAGCTAGTATAATATGCCCCAAAACCCTATTCTTTACTAAACCCTAAATCCTTATAGTAGCCTTATAGAACCCTTAAGAACCCTTTAAAGGACCCTTATACAAAACCTTATTCTAATTATTGAGGCCCTACATTACATGAGCCCCAAAAGTCTCCAGCCTTCCGGCGAGCCATGGCGGATCTTCGAACCGCGCTGGTGCTGGGAGGAGGCAGTACCAAGCGCGGGGCTTTGGGGGTTTAGGGCTTATAGGGTTTAGGGTTTAGGGTGCAAGCTTTGGGGTTTGGGGCTTTGGGTTTGGGGCTTTGGGTTTGGGGCGCAGGTTCAGAGATTCTACGAGGGTTTCCGGAGGTTTCTGTAGTCGTTTTCAGGAGAAGCTTGTGCGCTTTTCGGGTTGCAACTTAGGATATGGGCATGTTCAGGGTTTAGGGTTTAGGCTTTATAGGGACTGGTAGTGCTTCAGGTTTGTTCCCATACATAATGGGTATTGGTTATAGGGTCCTCTCGTGAATCTGTAGGGTTCAGGCTTGAGACCCGGGGGTTGAGGGTTTTAGGGCCAGCGGGGGTAATCGGGTTTAGGGTTCAAAGGTTCGACTCTTGTTCCAAGATTGATTTCGTAGGTGAAGTGATCTTGTGGAGGTTTAGGGGTTTTGGGAAGGTGGCAGCTCTTGAAATGCGAAAAGCTGCTGGAGCTCCCAACCTTTGCAAACCTCGACCCCGCAGTGCGTCCATATCCACGTGGCTTCAACGTACCTTGCCTATAAATGCTCTTCCAAAGCTTCCTGAAAACCTTGTATCCTGCAGAAGACCCGTGTACAAAACCCCAAAACTTTACACCCTCGCGAAGCAAAGGCGGCTGGGTTGGCTCAGCGCTGGTCCTTGAATTGCTGCAGCGCCGTGAGGCGCCAGCAGCTGGATAACCCCAGTCATGTACACTACACATTCAACCGCACATACATATATATATATATATATATATATATATATGTATAATGAACTAGTAAAAATAACAACAGCAATAGTAATAAATATATGTATATACACACACACACACCTACATACATGCATATGCTCCTGCACCCACAACCCTTGAACCCAAAACCCTCCCAGGCTAAAGGTTCAACACTCAAGTGCCGAGCTTTCGTCTCGAGGAGCTGGGTCTGCGCTGCGTGGTGGCTGCCGATCTCCCGACGGAGCCTTCGGCCAAAGGGAGGGGACGCAGGAGGCTCTAGTAACTCTAGTATAAAGGGTTTAAGATTTAGTCTGCGGGTTAATTCATGGTTCAGGGGTTTGTAAGATCAGGGGACTTGGTAAGGAGGTTTGTAGAGAGCTTGTATGGGTGTTTAAATGCAACTAATGTCTAGTCTTATAGCACTTTTTGAAACTCAGGTCTCGTAAGGATCATGGGGCCGAGCAATTAGGCGAACAGAAAGAGGACTACTGGGTTCTGGAGTACCATACTTGAACATTTTTTTTTGGGACTTGTTCCTCAAGGGAGCCATTATGAAATAAACGTCTATACTTTTTTCTCCCTGGTTACTTCAAAGTCTAGACTAGCCAGGCGGATAATCCCAATGGATGTCCTTGGACCTTGCTTGCAGTCCCCAGTACCAGCTTGGTAAACGGACGACTGAAGGGGTTTATGGTTTTGGGTTTTAGGGTTTTAGGCTTTAGGGTGTTAGGGTTTGGGGTTTATGTTTTGGGATTTGGGGCTTTAGGGTTTTGGGGTGTTAGGGTGTTAGGGTTTACGGTTATGGTTTGGGGTTTTAGGGTTTAGGGTTTATGGTTTGGACTTGATGGTTTCCGGGCTTCAGGACTTTCTGAACGTTGGGGATAGAGGCTGCCGCTAAAACTACACGTTTCAAAACCCTAAAGCCCACAAAGCGAATCCGCTAAACCCTTTAGCCTAGGCACTTCCCCCACTCTGTAACAGTTAGATAATACTCATAATATAACAAACGATATGTAGCCCTTAGTAATTAATATGACCCCTAACATACCCGAAACCTTAAACCCTAAGCCCTGGACCCTAAATTCTAAGTCCTTCACCCTAAATTTTGAACCCTCAACCCTGAGCCCTAAGCCCTAAACCCTAGCCCCTAAGCCCTAGACCACAAATCCTAAACTCTAGACTCCTAGACCCTAAATCTTGA